ATGCTGATGTTTATGTTGATGCTGATGATGCTGCTGCTGATGATGCAGATGCTGCTGCTGGTGGTGATGATACTGATGGTGGTGCTGCTGCTATGGTGGTGACTATTCTTCTTATGTTTCTTCTTACTGTTTTGGTTATTATCTTTGATTTGCCTCATTATGTTCTGCTTATTTTATTCAGTAGTCATTCGCATGGTTATTATCTTTATTCTTTTTATTCGTATTCGTAGTATTCGTATTGTTATTGTTGTTATTCGGATTCATCTTTTGGTGCTGATGGTGGTGGTGATGTCGCCGTGGTTCTGCTCCTCGCTGAATCTGCACGAATGCTTTCAGCTGGGTCCGTCCGCTTCCTTCTCCATGGCCGCCGAAGCCCGCGAGACGACACGGAGGTGGGTCCGGAGTCATTCGCGGCCATCTCTGTGTCCTTCTCTTCCTCCTCCCAGGAGGCGCCAGACCCTGGAGGATTCCTTACTCCAGATGTCGTAATAAAAGGGAGGGGGTCTGGACCCTCCAAGACGAGCCATTTCAGACCCCCCCCGTGGGAGAACCCTCCAAAACATCGTCCCCAGACCCCACCAGGCCCTCCAAGATAGCCTGGAAGAGACCCCCCCCGAAATGAGACCCCCCTCCCTTTATACGAAATCTGGAGTATCCAATGAGGGCGGCGGTGCTATCCATGGCCGATCCACGACTGGAGTTCCACTGGCTTCCAGACCCAGGATTCCTCATCTAAGGGTTCCTTATCCCATGCCCCCACCGCAGGTTCGCGTCGTGTCGACCAGCGGTGAGCCCGCCGCGGGCGTTCAAGGTTGAACGCCGCCAGTGGCCCAGAATCGGCCTGCATTGAACGATCGGGCGATCGGAAAGGCGCCGGTCGTTCAAGGTGGAACGATCGGCGCAGTGTCAGAAACCAACGCCAGGGTCGTCACGACACGACACGAAGCTGCCGTAACAAATCGGAGGTCCGCGCGGATTTCCTGGATTGGCGCTGGACCCCCTCCCTGGCGCGCGGAGCGCGCCAGGGGCGGCGCCGGAGGCGTCGCCGGGGGGCCCCAGAGACGATCCGAGGAATCCGCGCGGACCTCCGAGTATTCTGGTTGTGCCATTGTTTTTGTTTCCCCACTCCTCCTTCCTCCCCGGCCGCAGACATCCGATGTCTCGAGCTCCTCAGGTCGGGCACGCCTTCCTACAGGCGTACGTTGGATGAAACATGAAGCATAGCAAAACAGATGTTCAGAAATAGACGGCATTCGAGAAATCGTCCTCAGACTGCTCTTGGACCATTCTTGGAGTCTCCCTCCTGTAGAGGGACATGCCCGACCTCACCCGAGACGGGCTCGAGCCGCCGCCGCAGCGCAGGCCGGAGCAGCCGCAAAGCCCCCGGGGGCCGCCGCGGGAGCCCCCGCCCGGGCTGGCGGGGCCCCGGGGCAGCCGCGGGGAAGTCCCCCCGGGCGCGGCGGGGCCGCGGCGCGCGCGCGCCCGCCCCGCGATGGACCGCACCGGGGAGTTCCGGCGGCTGGCCCGCCTGGACGGGGGCCCCGTGGCCGCCGCGGGCGGCGAGGGCCAGAGCAATCGGGGCACATGGCGAAGAAGAGAAGAGGCAATACGGCCAAGGCGCTGAAAGAAGGAACAGTCCGGGTTCGGAGGGGGCCCGGTGTGCTTTGGGTTCCTCTAGTGCTGTTCCTGTTGCCCTCCTGGGGCACGGAGGCGCTCAGCAAGGGCCAAGAAGGGGCTTCGTTCCTCATTTAGCGTTCCTTCTTTCAGCGGCCCGACTGTAAACATAAAATCTGTGGCGGATCCACGCGGGGCGCCCCCGGCGGCGCCTCCGGCGCCGCCCCTGGCGCGCGGATCGCGCCAGGGAGGGGGGTCCGGCGCAGATCCAAGACATCCGCGCGGAGCGCCAAAAATTGATGTTTATGGCGATTCTCTGCTTCTGCACATGCGAACCCTACCCCACCACCCCGCGATTTTTTAAGGAGGGAGGTGGGGTTCGCTTCGTTCGGGAACTCCGAGCGAAGGGCACCCCCCCTCCCCCCCTCCGGGATCGTTGGGTGGTGGGGCAGGGTTCGCATGTGGCCTCCCATCAAGGGAGGGAAAACCACCAGGACCCGATAAGTGGCATGTACCAAACGGCCCTGGGCGTCTACTAAACAGCCCTGCCCTGTTCAATTTCTCCTGTGGGTGCGTAAACCGAACGGCTTCGCGTGTCGGGGTGATTATTATGGGGGCGGATTTTCTGCCCTCTATCCTAGGGGATGGATCCGTGCCCGAACCAACTGGAACGCTCTCAGAGCGCTCCAGGACGCTCTGAGAAGGCCGTGGCTCCCGAGGCATACTCCAGAGCTGCCAGATCTCAGAGATCCTCGATCTGTCCTCGCCCTGTTTTAGATCTTCTCTTTGGCTTCATCTCACCACAGGGCTGCACGCAGGCCGTCGGCATTTCATCTCTGCCCTTGCTCTCGCATGTCACCTCGCGCGTTCCACTACTCGCAAAGTGCCTATACGCAAACGTCCGAAAAACACATGCCTGCTTAGATGTAATGTATCGTAGATCCTCCGCGGGTGACCCAGGCCATTTGCGGGTAGTCACCCTGCGAGTAGTGGAACGCGCTCGTCTAGCATAGATTTCTGGAGCTCCGCGTGGACTTCTTGGATCCATCCTCGCCCGACCCTCCCCTCGCCCCGGCTTCGTCTCGGAAGGCCACACGGGATGTCCGACGGTCGCAGGCCCCGGCAAACATCCGGGCAGAGCGATCCGTCGGCAGGTGTTCGGCCTCGAGGGTTAATGCAGTCGGGCCTGTCCCTCTACAGGAGGGATACTCAAACGTATTCAAACAAGTATAATGGGAACTACAGTCGACCCGCAGAGTCAGGATGGGCGACCTTCCCAAGGGTACTCTTACATCCTTGCCTCCTCGGCCCATCCTTGGCCACTTTCGTTGGCCGCGCCCCGCTCGGAAAGCTTCGAAATGGGCGTCCAAGGCCCTTGCATCCTTATCGCGCATGCTTACTATGCGGGTTGATTTTTTTTTGTGTGTTTGTTTTTTTGTCCAATTTTTAATACTATTTTGAGCATTTTGGGGGCATGTTTTCAGTATTCTTTATTTTTCGTCCAAAACCCCCCTGTAGAGGGACAGGCCCGATTTAACTCTCTCCTCGTCCCGGCTTCGTCGTGGAAGGCCACCCGGGATTCCCGACGGTCGCAGGCCCCGGCAACCATCCGGGCAGAGCGATCCTTCGGCAGGTTTTCGGCTTCCAGGGTCAAGGCGGGCCCGTCCCTCTACAGGAGGGAGATTCAAAAATAACAAAAAAAATAGTATGGCGACTATTTTTTGATTATTTTTGAGCATGTTGGGAGTATTCTTTGAGTGTTTTCAATTTTTCGCCCAAAATCCCCCTGTAGGGGGACAGGCCCGACCTAACTCCAGGGGCCGAATCCCGGGCCTCTCCACAGGTCTCCTTGGGATCTCCCTCGGAGGCCCCACTGGAGGCTTCCATGGGGGCCGCCCAGGTCCAGGAACGTCTGAACAGTTTTGATCCTCGAACCAGGGCTGTACCCAAACGGTGTTTCTGATGATTTCGTGGGCCGTTTTCGTTTCGACTTCGCTCTGCGGTGAAGGCGGATTGGAGACAAAAGCGATAGAAAACGAAAACAAAACGAAAACGAAACACACCGTTTAGGTTCAGCCCTGCCTCGAACCTCGATCCGCCACTCCAGATTTCATCATGGAAGGGAGGACGAGCCAGTTCTGACCCCACCAGACCAGCCATGCAAGGGCGGCCTTTTTTGCCCAGACCCCCTCGAGCCCTCCAAGACGGCTCCACTCAGACCCCCCCGAATGTGATCCCCACACCTCAGTATTCAGAGCGTGAATTACCTACCCCGCTTTCGCTTCCAGGCAAAACCAAGTCATACCACGCGCCTCCTCGTCAAGCGGCCTGACCAGTACAGGCCGTAGTTTGGCATCGCTTGGTATCTCTGAATCTCTTGGAAGCGAGGGTGCTCAAAAGCGAGGTAGGTTTATTTGCCTCCTAAGTATGGCATCCGTAGCATCCTCTGTCCTCTGTCCTTCATCTCCGTCGTCGGCGACGGCGACGGCGACGGCGGAGCGACGCTGACGACGACCCTCCCGACCGCCGTCATCCTCCTGGAGCCTTTGACGCCCGCCGAAAGCCTCCGAGGGCCCACCACCGCCGAGCACGCGCGAAGGCCTTCGAGCCCCGCCGAGGCCGTGGGAACTCCACCGCGAGACCGGGACGGCCCACCGCGCAGCGATCTTTGGATGAATTCGAAGACTGGTGTCCGCATCATCATTCGAACCACAGCTTAAGAGACGGGTGTCAATGCAAGCGGGGGTCGGCCAGGGCACTGGATCCTGCAGGGTCCTGCGAAGACCCCCTCCGGCTGACCCGGGTTAGCGAGCCGCCCGTGGCCGCGAGGCGGCCGCGCAGGTTGGCTGACTTGGGTTTGCGAAGCCCTGCGCTGCAGTTTTCTTTCCTGCATCGCGGTTGTTTGGTTTCCTACTGACCGGGGTCGGATCGGCCGGGGTCAGTAGACCCCCGACCATACTTCCTGAGTTCGCCCAGAAGCCGCTGGATTTCATCCAGAGCCCGTTTTTTGAGGCCGTTCCCAAACCGTCCTTGACAAGCTCGCTTCAGGGGCAACGATCCAGGAAGGTGCGGATCCGCGATCGGAGGCCCATCGCCGATCTATCGGCGATGCGTCGCCGATTCCAGGTCGATCCTGTCGTTGCCCCTCATTGATACATGACCACCGCCCGGAGGGTCACCTCGGCGGGCGGTGGCTATGGACCTACTCGGGCCCCCGGGGGCCGTCACATCTCCATATCCTGGGCCCGAGCTTGGAGCTTCGAGCCTCGAGGGTCGGTGCTGGGCGTTGCTGCGTGTGCTGCCCGTCCGTCGCCGAGTGCGCAGCAGCGCGGCGACGGCGGCGGCGGCGGGCGCCCCCTCTCGGAGGCCGCGAGCCCTGCGAGTTCATGCGCGCGGCCGGCGCGGCGCGCTGCCGCCTCGCGGAGCTGCGCCGCGCGGGGGCGCGGGGCGAGGGCGCGGACGCGGAGGGGATCAAGGCCGCCGCGGGAGGGGGGTTCGGCCTGGCGTCGTCGACGTCGTCGTCGTCGATCGTCGTCGTCGTCGTCGTCGTCCTCGTCTTCGGCCTCACGGGGGCCTCCCCCGGCCTCGGTGCCGTCGGCAGACAGCTCGGGACGAAGAGCCAGTCCTGGGGAGTTGGTCGAGAGGTCGGGGGCCCTTGTCTCAAGAAGATCGAAGCGCTGGGTGGCTCTTCTCCCTCCATCTCTCCATCCCTTCCGCCACCCTCCTGCCGGCCTCCTTCCCCCTCCCTCCCTCCCTCCTGCCTCCTCCTTCTCGTCCTTCTTCTCTCCCCCCCCACGTCGGGCGCCGACACCCGGACATTGGCAGAAGGATGGCGATTCCGAATCGCCACAGACAGAGCTTTTGGGAAGTCCGCGCTCATGGTGTCGGCGCTCTGCCCTCCCGGCGGCGCCTCCAGCGAAGATCCAAGAACTCCGCTTGGCCCTCCGAAAGTGGCCAGGCCCATCCTGGGCCCAGGATCGGCGTGTGCACCCTCCGGGCTTGGCCGTGGAGGCACGCGTGCACCTGGGCCAAGGGTGGGCCCGGCCAGAGGCGATGCTTGTGCATAGATATCCTCGCCCGACCAGGAGGGGTGGGGGCGCACGAGGATGATGATGATGATGATGATGATGATGATGATGATGATGATGATGATGATGATGATGATGATGATGATGATGATGTTGTTGCCTCTGCTGATGACCATTCTGACGATGGTGATGCTGATGCTGATGATGATGCTGATGATGGTGATAATGGTGATGCTGCTGCTGATGACGACGATGCTGATGATGATGGTGATGATGACGATACTGGCGATGACGATGATGCTGATGCTGCTAATGATGAGGCTGATGGTGCTGATGCTGATGCTGCCGCTGATGTTGCTGATGCTGTTCAAACTTATGCTGATTATGTCGACTATGTTGGTGCTGATGACGGCGACGGCTATCACAATGACGATGACACCGACGACGACGGTGATGGCGACGTTGACGATGAGGACGAGGAGGTTGATGATGGTGATGAAATTGTGATGATGAAGATGGTGATGATACTGAGGGCATGGGGATAGAACATATGATGCAATGCTGATGACGAAGACGGCGATGACCATTGTGATGATGATGACGATGATGTTGCTGCTGCTGCTGATGAGGATGACGACGATGGCGACGACGATGCTGATGATGATGGTGATGACGATACTGATGCTGCTGATGATGATGCTGATGCTGATGATGCTGCTGCTGCTGATGATAATGCCGACGATGAGGATGACTATGATGATGCTGGTGATGACGATGATGTTGATGATTCTGATGATGATGCTGGTGCTGCTGATGATCATGATGATGATGCTGATGTGATGGTGGTGATGGTGATGGTGACGATCATACTGCTGACGATGATGAGGTTGCTGACGATGATGAGCTGACGATAATGATGATACTGCTGCCGACGATGATGATATTGCTGACGATTATCATGATGCTGATGCTGCTGATGATAATGATGATACTGCTGCTGTTGATGACGATGATGAGGTTGCGGATTAGGCTGCTGCTGTTGTTGATGATAATGACAATGTCGACGACAACGACAATGACGATGTTTATGATGATGCCGATCACGATGCTGCTGATGCTGATGTTTCTGATGATGCTGATGCTGATAGTGCTGATGCTTATGCTGATGCTCATGGTGATATTGATACTGGTGGTGCTGATGATGATGCTGTTGACGATGATGATGATGATGATGATGATGATGATGATGATGATGATGATGATGATGATGATGATGATGACGATGCTGATGATGATGCTGATGCTGATGATGCTGATGCTGATGCTGATTATGTTGTTGATAGTGATGCTGATGATGCTGATGATGCTGCTGCTGATGATGATGATAGTGGTGGTGGTGGTGGTGGTGCCAATAGTGATGCTGACGACTACGACGACCCCAATGATTGTGGTGGTGGTGTTGACGATGGTGGTGGTGGTACGGAGGAGGGGTATAGGAAGGGAACTGGGGACCAATTTTGATTTGCTGTCGGTGTGAGAGAGGTTATTCCGGGGGCTGGAAGAGGATGAGAGCAGGGACGGAGGCAAGAAGGGAGGATGGCCTGCCACGGAGGGAAGGGAGGAGGATCGGGGAGGAGGATGATGAGGGTGGGGGAAGGGGGAAGGAGGAGGACGAGGGCCAGCTCTAATCCAGGACGCAGCAGCGATGCTGCCATGCACCCCGCCCCGAGGCCCCTGCTCAGAAGTTCCTAGAAGCTCTCCGCCTCGCTGCACGGAGCCCCCCCCCCCGGAAACACGAGCACCTTGTTGTAGGCCTGCTGTTCAGGCGAGGGCCGCGCTTTGAGAAAGAGCTGCCCTGCACCCTTCTTGCTAACGTACAGGGTGCGGAGCTATAGCTACTCCAGATTTCGTAATAAAGGGAGGGGGGTCTCATTTCGGGGGGGTCTCTTCCAGGCTATCTTGGAGGGCCTGGGGGGGTCTGGGGACGACGTTTTGGAGGGTTCTCCCACGGGGGATGTCTGAAATGGCTTGTCTTGGAGGGTCCAGACCCCCTCCCTTTGATTACGAAATCTGGAGTACAGGGTGCGGAGCTCTAGCTCCACATAGTTCAACAGCGTTCCAATTCCTGATCATCACGTGTGAGGGCGTCTCAGTCGATGTTCCTACTTTGGCAGGAGCGGCCCTCCACCTGTGCAGTTGTTGCACGTTTTCGCCCTTCTCGTCGTTATATTCGGAATCAGGTCCGAAGCGAGACCTCCATTCTGAACTTGAGGGCTTGAGGACGCTCCACTCGGTGCCTCGCGGCACGTTGGCGGATGACGGGAAGCGCCTTCTCGGAACGAGAAGGTGATGGGAGCCTTTGAGGAAGCTGAATACGGAACGCATGAAGAACAAAGCCGCCAGAGATTCTTGGCTCGATATTGTAAAGGTTTTTTGCTCGGTGGATGACGGGGAGCGCTGTCTCGGAACGGGAAGGTGGTGGGAGTTTATTAAACCATGCTCACTACTTACGGATAAAGATCAGAGACGCGAGGGAGAACGGGTTCCTGGTTGAAACATATCGTTCGCTTGGCGGATGACGGGAGCGTCTTCGAGGTACGAGAAGCGAGCTGGACGTTCTGGCTGAATCTGCAACATATCTACTGGTTTCTTACTCATATGGAGGGTGGCCCGATGCACGGGAGACAGGCTTAGCGGATGACGGGGAGCGCGCTCAGACGCAAAGGGTCGCGCGATGGACGTTTGCTTAGAGCCGGAGGGAAAAATTACCAATCGGAGGGAGTCTTAGGGGGGATTGGTTCGGGGTACCTCCTTTCGTCGACCCTGGCGGATGACTGGAAGCGCGCTCAGAAGGCCCTGGATCGAGCGATTGTGGCGTTTTTATCGTGTCAGCGGGGTCGCAAGCACCCGCGCAGCATGATTCTCAGTCGATGGCGAGACATGTTTCGTTTCTCTTTTTCTTGGCGCCATCGTTAGCCGAAGTTACTTACGCTGGAGGGCCGGGCGTTCGGTGACGGCACGATCACCGTGGAGCTCTATGCCATCAAATGATGTCGAGGGTCGGAGCGAGCCAGTGCACAGCATAAGGAGTTATCACTTCGCCTGCCGAGCCGTACTCGCCAGAGGGCGACTGTGGTTCAAGGGAGCCTTGTACGAAGGCCAGGACGCAGTGGAAAAGCTATGCCGACTGGCGGCGCACAGCGGCGTGGCGCTCCCACCTTCACTTTTCCCACAGACCCATGGTATCCCACGCCGTGGCTACGTCAAGATGTGGTCGTACAGCGCCGAGACAATGCTCATGTCTGGCCGCGTGGACGAAGTTCTTAGACATGCGGCGGCTGCCCGAATCGACGTTCTTGCCCTGCAGGGCACCATGCTCTCCATCGAACACCAGTGGGAGAGCCCTGACTACATCATCACGCCTTCCCCGCGCTCGGCTCGCCACTTGAAAGACGGGGTTGCCATTGCTATATCCAAGCGGATTGCTTCACGGGAGGATATTACAGTCACACACAGGTGGCAAGCGGGAAGGTTAGTGGGTAGTCGGGTCCAACGCAAGCCCCAAATCGACTTCTACGCCCTCTGTGGATGCGCTCCAGCTGACAATCCCCAAGCACGACCCATCACAGCGGCCGCCCGCGCGGCTTGCCGACGCGACAGGGACGAGTTCTTTGACGATGTGAACCGTGCGCTGGGCTGTATCCCCGCTCGCCGTGCTATATTCCTGGCCCTGGATGGCAACGGTAGCATGGCGCCGTCAGTATCTGAAGTGGTGCCAATAGTGATGCTGACGACTACGACGACCCCAATGATTGTGGTGGTGGTGTTGACGATGGTGGTGGTGGTACGGAGGAGGGGTATAGGAAGGGAACTGGGGACCAATTTTGATTTGCTGTCGGTGTGAGAGAGGTTATTCCGGGGGCTGGAAGAGGATGAGAGCAGGGACGGAGGCAAGAAGGGAGGATGGCCTGCCACGGAGGGAAGGGAGGAGGATCGGGGAGGAGGATGATGAGGGTGGGGGAAGGGGGAAGGAGGAGGACGAGGGCCAGCTCTAATCCAGGACGCAGCAGCGATGCTGCCATGCACCCCGCCCCGAGGCCCCTGCTCAGAAGTTCCTAGAAGCTCTCCGCCTCGCTGCACGGAGCCCCCCCCCCCGGAAACACGAGCACCTTGTTGTAGGCCTGCTGTTCAGGCGAGGGCCGCGCTTTGAGAAAGAGCTGCCCTGCACCCTTCTTGCTAACGTACAGGGTGCGGAGCTATAGCTACTCCAGATTTCGTAATAAAGGGAGGGGGGTCTCATTTCGGGGGGGTCTCTTCCAGGCTATCTTGGAGGGCCTGGGGGGGTCTGGGGACGACGTTTTGGAGGGTTCTCCCACGGGGGATGTCTGAAATGGCTTGTCTTGGAGGGTCCAGACCCCCTCCCTTTGATTACGAAATCTGGAGTACAG